TGGTGGAGGTGAGGATGGTGGAGGTGAGGGTGGTGGAGGTGAGGGTGGTGGAGGTGAGGGTGGTGGAGGTGAGGGTGGTGGAGGTGAGGATGGTGTTGTGCTGTAGGTCTTCCCCTGGGTAACTGGGAGTGAGGCTGGTGGCAGAGGTGAGGGTGGTGAAGGTGAGGATGGTGGCAGAGGTGAGGATGGTGGAGGTGAGGGTGATGGAGGTGAGTGAGGGTGGTGGTGTGCTTTTCATGGACTGAGTGCTGATCAGGGAGTTTTGTATTTATCATAGACTGAGTGCTGATCAGGGAGTTTTGTATTTATCATATTTAAGACCCACAGAGTCCAGGAAATAAGTCATCCCCATCTTACAGAAGAGGAAGCCGAGGCTCAGCGCGGGGAAGGGAGTTGCTCAGAGGTGTCGTTTTCATGTCAGTGGGCGCGAGGGGAAGCTGGAAATAATCAGGGTCATGCTGTTGTGGCCCTGCCAGGCCTCTCTGCACGAATCCTGGGCTACACTGTGCCAGGCTGGTGACACTAGACTCCAGCAGGGAACTCAGATAAGAGCCAGTAAATGGCCAAGGTACTCGAGGTGTGGCCAGTCTTGAGAGAGACAGACGTGCAGCCTGAGAGAGTTCATGAGGGGCGGAAGGGTTGGCGTAGCATTCCTTCAGACTTGGTCAGAGATGGCTCAAAGGCTGAGGCCCAGGAATTGAAGGGAGGCCAGAGCTGAGGGAACAGCATGTGCAAAGGTCCGGGACAGCAAAGAACTTAGCCCACAAGGAACGACACGAAAGTCAAAGGCTCTTGTACTGTGAGTCAGGAGAAGGGAGAAAGCGGGTCAGTTTTTAGCCTGCCCTAGAGACCCGGTAGGGAGTCTGAACTTTGTTCTGCGTGTCCTAGGAGGACCGTGAGGGGGTGGGAAGTGTGGGGTGACTGGACTGAGCTCCTCCAGCTGCTCAGGGCGAATGACTGGTGTGGTTCTGGGTAGGTCCTGGACACCCGCAAGGAGACTGTTAAACTAACAGGGCGAGGACAAGGTGTGTCTAAGAAAGCTGTAAGGAAGGTGTGGCCACTGTGCCTTTGCCATCCGGAGGGGACCAGGTGACCTGGGAGACAAGCAGCCAGGACTGGTGTGGCTGAGGGTCCGGTGTCTCCCTGTCTGCCTGCTCCCCCGGGCCCAGCTGCACCTCTCCATGACATCAGAGGGGAAACCCCAGCCCTGCACAATGTCCACCTAGAAGCGGCCACTTCCCAAGTCAGAATTTCTTCTTTCTCCCAACAGATGCATCTCGGGCACAGGCTTTTGTTCATCATTAATTTAACAGGACTCTAAAATAACACGTGCCCACCATGAACCGTGTTCCAGCACTCTGGGGGACCCTTACAATTCCACGGCCCCAGGCCACCACTAGCTGTAATCTCCTCCTCTCCCGAGTCCCTTGTGGCTGCCTCCTGGGCTTCTCCACGTTGTGGATTCTGGCTGGGGCAATGCTCAGCGCCATTCTCCTTAAACCTGCTGAGTGTTTTCCTAGTCGCATGGGGAAATCGCCCTGCGACAGGGTGTAAAGAATGTTCCCCCTTCGGTGGCTTTCTGTCTGGGTGAAGAAAAAAACCGAAGCCGCTGTTTTGTTTGCAGGAAGCTTTTTTTCTGGCCAGGAGAACAATGGGGGAGTCAGGTGGCCCAGCAGAAGAGTAATCCTGTTAGCCACGGCTCAGCCCGGCTCTGCCTGGGCCGGGAGGGACCCCCACTTCTCCTCCCCAGGTGCCGTGTCATTCCCTCTGCCCTGGCGACCTGGTCCTCTTTCCTCCAGTCATTAGCCTGCCCATCTGGTCTCTTTGTTTGCCCTCTCTGCATGTGGCCTCGCCACCAGGACCCTGGGAAAAGCTAAATTCCTGCACCTTGGCCAACTCCAAATCGCAATGCCATCTGCATTTCTCGAGAAACATATTTATGACAGAGGAGTATCTAGAACAATCAGACCATCCGCCCCAGCAAATGGTTGCACACATTCAGCAAATATTCCCAGGGCTCACGGTACGGTTTTTATTGCGTCTGTTATCTAATGAGTTCAGGAGACCGACTGCAAACTGGCATTTAAAATATCTATGATTCATTGGTAGCAGAAGAATGATCTTAGATTGCTTTTTCTATTGTTTGGAGAGTTCTGAACACATTGGATGCTTCCAAATGTATATTGTGGGCATCAGACAAAATTCTTAATGTCTGGTCGGTCCAGAAAAGTCAGGGCAGGGATCACAATCGGAACCCTACGATCCTCCGTGCGCCCCACATGCTACATCTAAGAGAGGGACTGTTTGGACAGTGAGGAATGCAGCCAGGGATCAGGGTGGGGATGGGAAGCACTGAGTGTCCTGAAAACATTAAAAATAGCAGAAAATGAAATGAAAAGGGTTTGTATGTGTAGCACTATACTTTTTTTTTTTTTTTGGTACTGGGGATTGAACCCAGGGATGCTGAACCACTGAGCCACATCCTCAGCCCCCCCTCCCTTTTTGAAATTTTATTTAGAGACAGGGTCTCACTGAGCTACTTAGGGCCTCACTAAGTTGTTGAGGCTGGCTTTGAACTCAGGATCCTCCTGCCTCAGCCTCCCGAGCTGCTGGGATTACAGGTGTGCCGGACTAGCACCACATCTTCAAGAACTTTCCTATGGATGATTTCTGTTGACTGTCCCCCTCCCCTGATGATGCTCTGAGGCAGGTAGAGCAGGGATCATCTGTTCCCTTTTTCAGATGAGAAAGGTCAGGTTCAGAGAGGTTGAGCAGCTTGCACAGGGCCACATAGGCTGGGGGTCAGACCTAGAGCACTTGGGCTGGGAAACCAGTAAAGGCCCAGAGGGACCTTTTCAGCCTCTGTCAGGTCACTTTCTAATGAGGACACGGTCAAATATAATATTTTGTAATCAAGTTTGCCACTGTGCAGGCAAGAGGGCAGAGGCGTGGAGAAGGCAGGCCTTGGACACTGCCGTTCCCCGCAGGCCTCCATCTCTTGCTGCAAGCTAAAGAACAATGTCTCGGCCCGAGCTGGGTTCCTGTCCAAGACCGGGAGAGACTCCTTCACCACCACTGCCACAGGACCTCCCCCAGGTAGGCAGCGGCCTTGCTCTGGCCTGGCTGAGGGTCAGCGGCAGGGGAGTGACTGTGGACGGAGTGGGGGAGGGGAGGCGGGGGGTGGGCAGCAGGATCCCGGGCTAAATGAATAACGGAAGGGGGGGAGACCAGCGTCCCCTCCAGGAGGACTACACTGGCTCTGGAAGCGCCACCCCGACCCCAGCAGCTGTCCTGGCGTCCCCTTCCATGGCAGGTAGGTGGGCTTTGGGCAGCCAAGCGGGGAAGTGGCTTCCCCTTCAGCTGGGTGCAGATCCACCCACCCGGGTGCATCCAGGGCACGGAGGCGGGGACACAGAAGGAAAGATGGCATGTCCTGGTCCTTTGACAGCCTCGAGGTGCCTTTCCTCCTGAGCCTGGAGGCCGTGTTGTCACGGAGCAGTGGGAGCACGGGTGACGCTCTTGGGCTGACAGCCAGCTCCTTGCTGGGTTTCCCATGCAGCGCCCCCTGTCGCAGGCCCTCACCTGTCCCAGGCCCTCACCTGTCGCAGGCCCTACCTGTCACAGGCCCTACCTGTCGCAGGCCCTACCTGTCACAGGTGCATTGAGCCCTGTCTTGGGGTGAGGGAATGGTGGAGTGACATCCGGTGTCACCGGCCAGCAAACAGCAGGCTAAGCCCAGAGGACCTTAGAGGACCTTAGAGGACCCCACCTCCCCGTTATTCCGAGGTGCCTTCTGGATCGCCCAGATTCAGGACTCGGCCAGGGCCTGCCTGAAGCAGCCCTTGCTGGGGCCAAGGGGGCACAGAGCCCCTGTGGTCTGGGGCCTCCAGTGCCCTAGGCCACCCCGGGGGAGCCCCAGAGCTCCGAGGGGCGCGGGGAGGCGTGGCCGTGCCTCTGGCCTGGCAGGAGGGTGTGGAGGAAACTGCAGGTTCCACCAAACCCAGATTAAAGTTGCCATCCGTCTGCAGCGAGGAACAATCCAGCGCTAATTAGGAGGCTCAGCCTGGTGAAGCTCCCGCCTTGCGTCACCTCCCCGTGGGCACAGCCCCACCTTGCTGTTTACACAGAGGACCAGAGCTGGTGCTCCCGGGGCTTGGCCAGAGTCCCTGCCGGTGGCCCCGGGAACCAGCCATCTGGGCTTGCTTCCTTCCTTCAGGAGGGTCCCAAGGGCGCTCAGACCTTTAGAACACAGAGCTGCGGGGGGGGGGGTTCTAGCACCTGCTGGGCACCCCCCCGGGAGCTGGGGGCTTTGCACTCCTTGTTACCCCGAGTGCTCCAGACCCAGGAGCTTGTGTTGGTGCACACTCGTGGGCTGCTTCTGCTCCTTCTCCATTTGACAGGGAAAAACGATGCCAGGACACAGGGGAGTGGCCCAGGGCCCCACAGCTGGTGGAAACGCAGGCCCCTTCAGCCTCATAGGCTACATTCAGACCACACCCCGCCCCGCCTTCCTGGCAGGTGGCTCTCTCTACCTTTTATTTTTTTGCTTTTTGATTTTTCATTATTTTCCACAGTTTAATATTGCTTTAAGATTTTTTTGTTAGAATGTGTGTGTGTGTGTGTGTACGTGCGTGCATGTGTGTGTGCATGTGTGAGAGATAAAAACAGAAATATGAGAGGAATGTACTAATATTAAAAATGTTGCTGACACTTAACTTTTTAAAATTTCAGCATATAACTTATTAAGTATATGTTTCATGTGGTAAAAATCCTTCCAAGAAGCCCCTCACAGGGGCACATGCCTACAAATCTCACCAACTTGGGAGGCTGAGGCAGGAGAATGGCAAATTCAAGGTCAGCCTCAAGATCTTTTCTCAAAATAAGAAAATTAAAAGGGCTGGAGATGTAGCTCAGTGGTAAGGCACTCCTGTGTTCAATCCCAGATTTAAAAAAAAAAATCCTTTCAAGACACCCTTCTTCCTGGCTGCATAGTGTTCCATAGTATGATGGGACCCTCAATGAAGGCACAAATACCCTCTTGTTAGAAATCCAGGTGGCTTAAAATTAATTGCTAATCCGCATCAAATGGCAGTGGCCATCCTTGTACTAATCGCTTGTGTACAATCAAGATTACTTCCTTATACAAAGAGCTTAAAGTGGAATTGCTAAGTCAAAAGGTATGTAAAATATTTAGGGTTTTTGATGTTTGTAACCAAAGTGCCCTGCAGGGTAATTTGTCCTCTTGCTTCACTGGGGCACCTGCTTTTCCTCCTTGGAGATGATGGGTTCAATCACACCTGGCTAATGCTCACTCTACTATTCCAGTGCTTTTGCAAAGGAAATGTAAATTTTATTTAAAACAATCGAGATCAGATTCACAGTGCCCGGAGAACTGGAGGCCACTCTCCCACCCTCCTGCCAACCACGGCTGTGCCCCACTCCACTTTTCTGGATTCTGCCCATTTTCACTGTGTGCGTAGATGCTGTGGCAGGGTGCGGACAGTGGGCCTGTGGGCCTGTTGACCAGCGTGTCCGTGTGGCGTTAGGAGAGTTTTATTCACACTGTCAGGGCTGCTGTCCCCTCAGCCGGGCCCTTGACCCGTTTTCCCCAGCCCAGACGTTCAGGCTGTTGATTCACTCACACTTTCTCATGAGGTGGCGGCTGTTGCTGGCTACCTCCTCCGACTGGAGCTTTTCCGTTCCACCAGGTAATTCCTTAACTTCTGAGCGCCGGGGCCTGGGCCAGCGAGTGCGGATGGCGCCCAGCCCCTTGCCCTTTGCAGGGCTCCTGGCAGCTGAGGAGATGCAGCCGCTGCCCTGCCCCCAGCTCAGGCCATCCTCTTCTCTGAAGTCTTGTGCCCAAATAAATTGGATTCTCTCACAGTGTCTTGAGATGGGCGTGGTGGGGAAGCCCGGGCTTTTGAGGCAGGTGGACTTTTCTCTCCATAATAGGGTTCAGTAAGTACTGTTACTGTGTAATATCTACAAAGCAACCACCAAAGTATTTATCTAGGGAGCAGGGATTGAGCCACTGAGGGGTGCCTAACCACTGAGCCACACCCCCAGCCCTTTTTTTTATATTTAGAGACAGGGTCTCACTAAGTTTCTTAGGGCCTTGCTAAGCTGCTGAGGCTGTCTTTGAACTTGCGATCCTCCTGCCTCAGCCTCCTGAGCTGCTGGGATCACCGGCGTGCACCATGGGGCCTGGTGAGGTCTGTTATTCCTACTCTGTAGAGCAGCATGCTAGGCTTGATCTGAGTCCCCGGCTAGATGTCCTAAGTCCTCTGGCAAGTTATTTAGTGTCTTTGAGTCATTGTGTCAGAATGGAGGGGACCATGCCCACCCTGCAGGGCAGTGAGGACTGGGTGAGCCCAGCGGGGGATGGCCAGGGCCAGTTCTCTGGTGTCACTAGACAGTATTACTCTTAGCTGTTCCGGGCAGCCCCAGCGTTTGACCGTCGTGGGGTGATATGGCCTTCTAGCCCTTAAATGTATCCCTAGGTGGGAGAGACGAATTTTTACTTATTTGAGAAGAGTTCCTTATTCTGTTTTAAAATCTCTTTCTGTTTAGGACAGTATGATGTCAACGAATCCCTTGTGAAGCAGTCACCAAAGTCGTTAATGTCTTGCTTTAAGTCAAAAACCCATCGTGGATTAAAACTGACGTCAACAGGCCCAGGGCCTGGTTACTACAACCCAAACGGTCTCACCAGGGTTCCAAAGAAGACCCATGTTCCGTGAGTCGGGATTGTTCTTTTGCTAGTTTCGTTTTGCAAGGTGGTTCGGGGGCAGTATCCTCATGTGGGCAGAAAGGGGAGACATGTCACTACTGAGCAGGATTCAGTCCCAGGGACTCTTGCAGACACACACAGTAGGTGTTCAGTACCTGCTTGCCCAATGCATAATATCTATTGAGCAACTGCTCTGTGCCAGGAACTTAGAATCTCACTCCATTATCATGATAACCCTGTCGTGGGAATAAATACTCTTACTTCATAGAAGATGCAAGACTTTAGCTCCCGTGAGGTGCCCCAGGCTCAGGACTGTGCAGATCTTCCCACATCCCCCACGTCGTGTGCCGTCCGCTGTGGACAGGGTTCTGTTTCTGCAGTGCAAAGTCTCCATGGAGCGGCAGGACATGGAGGAGCAGGAGGCTCTCTGAGTTTTTGGTCAAACCTGCTGAATCTGAACGTCAGCTCTGCTGTTTGGGGCTGTGGGACCTTGGGCCATATGCCGACCTCTGTGAGCCTCCGTGCCCTACCTGCACAGTGGGGTGACTCCAGCCTGTGGAGCTGCTTTCAAAATTAAAAATGTATGTTAGGCATCTAGGGGTAAATGTGAGCTGATATTAGCACAGGTTTGAAAAGCAGAGGAGACGTCGCATCTTCACGTTTAATACCTCACACAGTCAGATACTTAGATGGTGGTAGAGCTTCTAGAACTATTTGCATAAGGTCAGTCACCCCCTAAGCCCTCCCTCTGCCGCTCCTCCAAGCAGGGCAGGCCCCTGGGCGGGTGTAGCCACTTGGGTCTCTCCAGAGAGGTCAGGCGGGTGCTGGAGGCCACAGTCACAGTGGGTCAGAAGCCTAGGTCACTCAGGGGCTGGCACTACCGAGTATCCCCTGACGGTCAGCCTGGGACGAGGGGACAGGGATTAGGGAGAGGAGCAAGTCCCGAACCTGCCACTTCAGACAGCATCTGGAGAAGGGCCTCGGCCTCAGAGGGCGGCGACGAGGTGAGTCCCTCCGGCCCTGCGGTTCCTGGGGTCTGCAGCTCGGCCCCCCCCTTCCCAGTCTCCAGAAGCAGGCCCCTCCAAATGTCAGAGACTTCCTGCTGCAGGCTGGCTTGGGTCACCTTCACGTGCCAGCTGTCCCCTGGTTGAGAGTGAGCCTCAGGCTTCAGTGCAGACCAGAGTCCGTCTCCTCGGGCTTCTGCAAGGCCTGCGGGAGGAGGAGCTGGAAACAGCTGCGACTCCCTCTCGGTGGACACAGGGGGACTCGCCTCTGCGGCACCGTGTGGTGTCCCAGCCCTCGGTCACCTGGGGTGTGCCAATGAGGAGATAGTCAGCCGTCACTCCTGTTGCAGCTGGCACTGCTCCACATCCCAGGGACACAGAGGTCATCAGGAACAGCTGGGATTTGAAATGGCAGCTCAAGCCCCAACACAAATCTGGAAGCTTCTTCCAGGAAAATGGCCACAGGACACAAGAGAGCAGAGAACCTTTCGTGGTTAGCCCTTTTACCTGGTTGGTTGGATTTTGCTCAGGTTTGGAGCAGCAATTTGAAGTCATTCTCATCATTCCCATCTGGTGGCATTTCCACCTGTCACTCAGCGGGCTCCGTAGGTCTGTGGGTGCTCAGGCGAACAGGATGCCACGTCAGCCAGGTCCTCCCAGGAACAACCCCAGTGAGAGGCAGAGGAGCAGCGTCACATGCTGGCTCTCGTGGGACCCCGGGTCATGTAGCCATACCCCCCACGGGGCACCAGTGGGCCATGGGTGGCCCTGTGTGTCTGGGGTGTCGGGCGCTCACTGGCTTTCTGTGATGCTTCGTGAATGGAGGATCGGGTTCCCAGCAGGGAAGCCCTGTGCGCCGGTCCCCTGTGCAGACACCATGTCCCCGGGCCTCCCTTCTCCACAAGTGAAGAGGGGACCTGCTCACATCTGACGCTTTGGGACTCAGCTTTGTTGGCCATGTCACTTGGGGGAGCACAGAAGGGGGCTGTGAACTGAGGCCAGCCTGGACCACAGAGGAGAGGCCCAAAACGTCTGCTCATAAGTTGACAAGAAAGGACGGAGGTGAGAATCTACAGTTTTACTTAAAAACAAGAAGACAAAATGGATAGGCCTTGGACCATTCTAGAAGAGTGTCCATCTGTTTACGTTGAGCCATGAAGGAGACAGTGGAATAGGAAGGAAAGGCTGAAGGACTGTCCAAGCCTCCTACCTGTCGAGTGCCACCATTTCCCGCTGTGTCCTGGAGGGCAGGGGAACAGGAGCCTGGGCCCCATGGCGGGGGTCAGCCTGGGCACTGTTCCTCCCCAGACACCTGCGGCTTCTGTTCAGACTCTGTCCCTAGCAGCTTGGTCACCTGTGGACCTCCAGGGTCCCCATCCTTGGGGTTACAGCTCGCAAACGCAGCTCGGGGCTCCACTTTCTCCAGGGTGCTGGGACGTGAGGCCGGGTGGACTCCCCCTGAGGAGCTCATCCCGTGTGACCCCCCAAGAGCAGAGCCCAGGGAGCAGGAGAAAGACCGAAGCGCTCAGAGGTGCCCGCTCAGTGTGTCTGCCAGGGAGACCTTGTGGCAGCATGGCAGGGGGTTAGTGCCAGCTCTGAGGTCAGGGCCTGGGGCCTCCCACCGTCCCCACTCTCCAGCCCCGGGGACGGGGGCAGGCAGGTCACTTAGCTCCTGGGAGCTCCGTTCCTTCATCTCTGGGAGTTGGGGTAAGAGCAATGTGACTCATCGCAGTGAACTGGGGAAGAACCCTGGTGACGCGTCGCCAGGATGAGAGGAGGTGGCCGCTGAGCTCGGGTTGGCCCAGTCTGCGAGCAGGTCCTCGCACCCACCTGTGTTCCTGGGGTAGCCCCTGTAGGGCCGATGCCGTGCCAGGGCCGGCAGTGTGCTGTGCCAGCCCTCCTGAGCTCCTCGGCTGGAGAGCGCGTCGCGGGGCGTCGCTGTGCCACTTGCTGACTCAAGGCTAAGAGGATTTATCAGCTTCTGGTGCCAGCCAAGGTGTCCCTTCTCTAGGTCCTGGGTGACTCAGGGGAGTGGGGCGGGTCAGGGCAAGGGCTTTGGAGATCAAAACGGCTCCTCCTGGTGCAGCTTCAAGGCCCACCTGCCTGTGGAGGTGGCGCCCAGGGACGGCCTTCTAACCTGCAGCTGCTTCCTGGAGTCTCTAAGCCCCTGGTTTTGCACAGACACGCTGCGGTGTCACAGCCAGAGCCAAGGAATCAGGCCCGCTGGCCCCGCTCCAATTTGGGTAATTACATTGCACCCCCCTGAAGAACCTCTGGATTTCCAATTAGATATGGGAGGCTTCTTCCCCAGCGACTGTCATCTGTCACCCGCTGCCTGTTGAACAGATACCGCATTCCTCCCCAGGGGCAAATCGCTGCCCTTTAATGTTGAGAAAAATTGCCCCTTCACCCCTCCCAGCCCTGGGAACCCCTGAGGCAGAGTGAATCTGTGCCTGGGAGTGTCCCAAGGGTCTCGGAGGCAGTGACCTGCCGGGTCCTCCAAGCCCTTCATTATTCTGGGCGATTTGCAAGCAGCTCAGCGGGAAGCTGCCAACACATTTCATCCTGTGGGGGGCCAACAAGAGCCTTTGAAAGCTGCTTCCTTTCCGTGGGGTGAGAGCAGGTGGCTCTGCTCTCAAGGGGACGCTCATAAAGCCCCTGACAGAGTTGTGTCGGTGCCCTGGGTCCGGTCTGCATGTCCAGCCCCACCGCCACACAGGGCGCCCCTGGCCGAGGCTTAGTCTTGGGTGGGCCTCAGGGGTCTGGCTCCTTTGCTGCCTCAGTCCTCTGCGTTCCTCTGAGGCTCAGCGAGGGTCCTCCCTGAGGGTCCCACAGCTGAATCAGACACAGTCCCCTTCCCGAGTGGGGCAGGTAGAAGGCTTGGAAACCTAACAGATGGGAACAAAGGAAGGAAGAGCAGCAGGTGTGCTGGCCCAGATACCCCGGCCCAGGAGCCCTCGGGGATGTGCAGCTGTGCTGTGGGCTGGAGCTGGGTCCTCCACCTCCCTGCGGAGGTCGGAGGGGACTGTCCTGGGCTGTCATTCGGGGAGGGCGGAAGCCTGAATCCGAGCCGGCAGGGCAGACGGGTGCTCCTGGCAGAGGGGGCCCCTGGGCGGGGCAGGGACTGCGGAGCAGTGTGCGCGAGGGGAGTGTGTGGGGGAGTCAGGCTGGCTCCAGAGGCCACAGAGCTTTCCCTGGAACCTCTGCTGGGGTCGGTTTGGGGAGGAAACAAGCGAACCAGGCAGGCTCGTGGGTACATGCAGGGTGCAAGGCGGCGGAAGGGCCCAGCCTTCCTCTCCTGGTGTCCCCAACCCCCTCCTGTGCCCTGGGGCTGCGATGCCCTCCCTGCTGGTGCCCTGCTGTGCTGCTGCTGGCCTGTCCTCCCGTCCTTCCCACCTGAAGGTCCCCTGCTTCCCTTGCAGGGCACCTGCCACCCTTCCAGGGTGGGCTTCCGGGTTCCCCAGTGGGAGCTGCTGGTCTCTACCCCACACAGAGTTTTAAACTCCGTCCTAACCCGTGTCAAAAAGCAACCCGAGGAAAGCGGTGGTCAGTCCCACCCTGCTGGGCGTCAGGTATCACTGCCGCCATTTCACAGACGAAGAAACTGAGGCTTGGGAGGCCAGGGGACTTTCCTGAGGACACGCCGCTGGCGAGTGGGGAGGGAACCTTCTGTCTGAGCGCACAGCTGTCCTGCCTTAGCTGTCAGGAGCCATGATCGAACTCTCAGGGGACTGTCCAGCCCTCGAGGACATTCAGGCCTGGGCCTTAGCCCAGAGCCGTGTGGATGGAGTCACACACATGGCTGGTGCCCCTGAAGACCCCCAGCATCGGGCTGAGGGTGCTGAGCCACCCCTGGCCTGCAACACAGAGAGGAAGGGACCTCTCGGGCTCGCCCTGGCCACCAGGTTGTGGCTCAGCTGCTGCGGCCTCTTGCGGGCCACCCTGCGCAGCAGAGCAGACGCCTCATGGGCTTCTCAAAGCACAGGGTGGCCTCCTGGGCTTGGGGCAGCCCTGACCGACAGGCAACTGTGCATGGCCAGCTCCTCCTGGCTGTCATTCCAGGACTCAAACCTGCCTCTCAGAGGCCAGTCACCCACTCACGGAATTTCTGGGGTGCTGCAAAGAGGGAACCACGGCCAGGCCAGGAAGAAGGGGACAGGTGTCGGCCACACCCTGGGCCCAGTTCTGTGCAGACTGGGGTGGGAGCGAAGGGAGGCAGCGCTCCTCCTGTTCCTGTGGTGGACATCTTTGTTCTAAACACAAGTGTCCCGGTCAGCTGTCCCCCATCGCAAGACGTGAGCCCCAGGCTGGGTCAGGGCAGCTTTCCTTGGCCTCCGCAGCAGTGCGGATGCCCCCTGCCTCCGGGTGGCTCTGAGTGAGGCCCAGACCTCTCTCTCCTGAAGCTCAGCTGCTTCTCCGTGGTGCTGCAGGACCATGACCACGGCTACTCTGACTGAGCACCTACTACGCGCTGGTGCTTCACATGCCTTTCTCTCTTCATCGCTCCACTGTGGTGAGAGACCCTGGGAGAAAGTCTGGGGACAGGCAGGAGGAGGCAGCGCTTCCTCTGACACCCCCAGGACCCCTGGCCACCAGGAGAGCTGCAAGTGGAGGCCTGGCGAAGGGTCACAACTGGAAGGGATGACAGAGGCCACCCTGCCCAACTCCCTCAGTTTACAGACGGAGAAAGGAGAGAGTGCGGGGGCTTGGACTCCGCCCGGACCCAGCTTTCTGTGGTGTCTCCAGGCCAGAGAGAAAAGGCGACTCCTCCTCCCCGAGGAGGCAGGGGACAGAAAGCAGGGCCGGTGTCGGCTGGGTCACGAGAGCGCTCTGGATCCCGCCCAGTGTCTCTCCAGGCCTGGATCTTGCCTTTCCAGGAAGAGATCCAGCAGAATTCTGGAGCCTGAAGCTCTGGAATCTCGGGGCCGTCTCTAGGTGCCTGCTGGTCGTGGGATAACACACCCCTGGGATGCGGGACGCCTCTTGGCCTCGCCTGGCCACGGCAGGCAGTGCAGGTAGACCACCAGCACTCTTCCCGTGGAGCCCACCCGAGGCCTTAGAACTCTCCACAGAGCTCCAACAGGCGCTGCCGGTCAGTCGCCCCTGCCCTTCCTGCTGGGCGCAGTAGCCAGAGCTGTGCCAGGGCGTTCCGAGCGCTCGGCTCTAGGCCAGGCCCTGTTCTGTGTGCTGCCGTGTTTGAGCTGCATCATCTCATTTAACCCTGGCAAGAGCCTCCGAGGTGGGTACTGCTACGATCACCCTCGTGGAGATGAAGAAACTGAGGTCCGGGGGCCCAGGGCTCAGGAGCAGCCGAGCCGGGCTCTGCCAGCTCTGCCGCACCTTGCGGTACCCTGGTGCCGTGGGGCTCTGGGTGCTCTAAACGTGGGCACTTCCCCAGCAGACCCCTCGACTGACCTCTTCCCATTTGTCTTTTCCAAAGGAAAAACCCCACGCTGAACTTCTCTGCTCAGCCTCTGCCTCTGCCCCTGAAGCCGTCTCTGCCAGGCCCGGGGCAGTACGAGATCGTGGACTACGAAGGGCCCCCCAAGCACTTCATCTCTAGCGCCTCGTTTGTGTCCAACACCAGCCGGTGGACAGCGGGGCCGGCCCAGCAAGGCCTGCCCGGCCCAGGTCAGAGCCCTGTTCTGGGGGATTGTCACCGCCAGCTCCTCTGGGATTGTTGGTCCTCGAGGCCGTTGAACGCCGCTGGTTTATGGGCTGTTTGCTGAACAGGTTACAGAGCGAGAGGAGATTTGGGAGACTTGGGAGATTTGGGAGTCTTCAGCTCACGTTTTCAAGAGTATACAAAGATTTTGTTTTTTTTAAGGTGGAAGGGCTCTTGGAGGTGATCCAGGTCAGGGATTTATAACCAAGGACTGGGAAGGTTCGAGAGGTCAAAGACAGGCACTAGGTAGCCAGTGACTCTGAATTCCCTGCAGACATTATTTCCCGTGGCGAGGGGCCATGGCTTTTGTCAGATTATCAGAAAAGTTCTTATTCCTAAATATCTACACGCCATGCCGGGTGTGGTGGTGCACGCCTGTAATCCCAGCTACTCGGGAGGCTGAGGCAGGAGGATCACAATTCAAGGCCAGCCTGGGCAACTTAGTGTCTAAAAATAAAAACAGAGGATTGGGGATGTGGCTCAGTGTTACGACACCCCTGGTTCAGGGCCAAGAACTGCAAGAAAGAAACAATTAAGCCACTGGTCCAGTCTGGCCAAGGCATTTCACAGGCAGGGACACCCGCAGAGCGAGCTACACACAGGGCCTCTGTGGCAGGACAGAGGCCTGGACACCTTGCTCATGGCGACCAGGGACCGTTCAGTGAACTGCTCTGCAGCCAGCCCCACCCCCATCCTGCAGAGGCACAGTGACCCTCCCTCACATGTGGGATCCTTGGGAGCTGATGGCCTGAGGGCTCGTTCGGATGGTGACCTGTGCTTCCTCACCGAGCTGTAGCTCCCTTAGATCCCTTAGCTGTCACCACTCTCTGACCACGGCCAGAACTCGTGGCAACAGGGACCAACAGGTGTGACTGGGTGGCAGGTGAGTGGGAGAAAGGCAAAGTTAGGCGAGTGTCGAAGAGGCTCCCACCCTGGGAGACTGAGGTGACAGTCGTGTGTCTCCCAGAGGCTCCAGTCTGGTAGGGGAGATATACCCAACCCCCCCACACACACAGGTGAGGGAAATGGGAGGGGACAGGGGACGGCCCTCGTCCTAGCTGGGGCCTTTGGCAGACCAACAAGACAGCAGAGGGGTGACCCCAGGGGCTTCTAGTCCGCCCAGGAGAACGTGGCGTGGCCCACGGAGCGTGCTACTCCCATAAGAGGTGAGCTCCAGGGACCTTGGGATGGCCTGTCTGACCTGGCCCTGTCCCCTAGAGCTTCGTCTGACAGTGGGCACCTGACCCTCAGGTTGGGCTGTTCCTGCTGCTGGGATGACCTGCTCCATTTGGACTTCCCTGAGGGGTCTCTGGTGGCACGTGCAGGCGTCGGCCTCGGGTGTGCGCAGGTGTCCTGGCTGCCGTGGGTGCCCCTGGGCAGCTTCCTCAGAGGACATCCCTGGGCCCCGTTAAGAAGCCGGTTTCAGAACGGAGCACCGCAGGCTCTGGTTCCCCAGCCCTGCTTGGTCCTCGTTGCTCACCTCCCAGAGGACCGCGTCTGCAATTGGCTTTCCTTTTCCTGGAAATTTCCGAACTTAATCAAAACAAAATCTCACCAAGCTAACACCTTGGGTCTTTAGGAATTTTCCTTTAGATATGTTTTTCAAATTTCTAGAAGACAGTCTTGCAAATTTTGTTCTGTTAAAGAGTTAAACAGAGGGTTGGGCCGTGGCTCATGGCAGAGCGCTGGCCCAGCCTGCACAAGGCCCGGGTTCGACCCCAGCACCACAAGACAGACACCAGACAAAAATGTAAACAGGAGAAACAGTTCCCCAAGCCAAGTTCAAGTCCAGCTTTGGCCAGTTAAGAGCCAGGTGACAGGAGGCCATTCCCTTCCTCCCTCTCTGTCTCCTCCACCATGAGACACAGGGGTCCCTGGGCCTTTCCAGCCTGAGGCGGGAGGCCAGAGGACCCAGGGGCCAGCCTCTCCCTCTCATGCCGTCTCTTTATGCCCTCAGCCACCTACAAGCCGGAATTCCCGGGAAAGCAGTCGTTCCTCTACAACGAGGACCACAAGTGGATCCCAGTGATGTAGTGAGGTAGCCCCGCCCGGCCCTCCCCAGGATATTCACCAGGAGGGACCTGTGTTGCATGTGACAGCTGATGACCTGCCACTCTGGCCCAGTGCTACTGCAAGGGGCTGCCATCACCCTTGCCTGCCCCCCTCCCAGCTCCACCAGTGTCCCCAGCAGGGGGTAGATGGAGCCCCAGGCTCTCCCCCAGGCACTCCGCAGGCTGGCTCTGGCCACTCACCTCCTGAAGCAGGGCCTCCAGGGAGGAGATGGGTCCACCTGACAGCAGCCCCCAGCTGTCTGTGGAGCAGGGGTTGGGGGTGGAGTGTGCCCCAGCATGGTGCCGTCTGTCCAGCCTTGGCTTCTGGACCCCTTCTTGATTTCAGAAGCCAGGAAGACCCAGAGACACCTGTGGCAGACAGGAAGGTGCTGGCTGGGCCCTCGACTCAACTAAGACTTCATGTTGCACCTTCAGGAAGAATCTGGAAGCTGGCCACCAGGGCCCTTTTCTTCGTCACCCCCCTGGAGAGCTGCCCGGTGGTTCACAGGCTTGTGTGGCACGTGTGACAGTCCCTTGCTGGAGCCAGAGCCCTGGACGGAGCAGTTCCCAGGGACAGGGAGGCCACACTGTGCCCTGTGCCACCAGCTCTCTCTCCCCGTGAACTGGCCCCTGCCTGAGCCTGGGCTCCATCCCCCCCTGACCTCCTGCTTGGGTGGCAGAGACAGACTTCTTGACCAAGTTGGACGCCAATTTTAACAGATCTCTTCTGGCCTGCATAATTTCTCCTCATCAAGAGGGAGGGGCTACTGCAGAACCACGGAGAAGTGGAGCCCACCACAACGCCCCTCCTCGCTCACTCGGCCTTGCGTGGAGTCTCTCTTGCACCTCCCCCAGCCCCAGCCCTGACCCCACAGGTCCTGGCCTCTCACTGCTGCACCCTGGGCCTTCCTGTTAGAACTGGCTGCTGATGGGCTCTCCCTTTGGGGGTGGATGAAGAAGAGGGAGGGAAAGGAGGGAATAACATTTTCAATTAAACGGAATTCTTGCTTCTCACTAAAGCCGGCCTTTTGGTGAACTTCAGACTCCTGCAAGGGCCCCGTGGCCTTGGAGTGACTGAGCAGCAGCCCACAGGGTTGTGGGAAGAGCAGAGAGGTTGGGGTTTAAAGACAGAATCACCTTGTGCTTCCCTCTGCACTTCCCAGGGCTCAGCTTCTCCAGGGGAAGAGCTGGGGTGGGACTCGGGGGCTCCAAGTTCTGACACTTTCAGAGGCTGAGCAGACCATGCATCGAGTGCCACAGGTCAGGTGGGCACCGGGACTGCCGCGAGATTGCCGCTGTCTCACGGGGCACCCAACACCACTCAGCTCCAGCAAAGTGGTGCTAGAGCTGAAGATTTTCTACTAAATTCAGGGAAATCCTTTTTTTTTTTTTTTAGTATAGGGGATTGAGCCCACAAGTGCTTCACTACTGAGCTACAACCCCAGACCTTTTAGATTTTTATTTTGAGACAGGGTTTCATTAAGTTGCCCAGGCTGGCCTCAAACTTTCAGTCCTCCTGCCTCAGCCTCCAGAGTGCTGGAATTATAGGTGTGGGTCATCGTGCCCAGCAAGCCCAGGAACTCTTTACTATGGTAAATCTTTTAACATGAGATATGGACAACTATATTCCAATGTGAAATAATTATTTGAGTTAAAGGAAACTCTTTTGGGGGTCATTGATTGTCCACATTTATGCTAGAAGTTCTGTAAGATTCTTCAAAGCTGACACACACAAGTCATCCTTTGTTTGACCCAGGATCTTGACACTGGGGCCAGATCCTGAGGCCTTGATTTTAAGCTTGCTCTGACCTTGGGTACCCTTTGTGGCTTAGCAGGTGACTGGCTGCTATTTGCTGGGTTTGGGGCTGGTGATATCGTATAGGAAAACCACAAAGCCCTCTTGACCCTTCAGAGCACTCTGCCAATTGAACTGTCTCTCCAGTGACTCCCTCCAAGTGGGCCAGGAAAGAGACCTGAGGAGAGAACAGCAGGGCGGGCCGGCCAATCAGAACCCACGTTCTATGGCTGACATACTGCCCTGAGGCCCTAAGCCCAAGGTGCTGTCTTGATCCTCCTCCTCTTTTAAGATGTCCCAGGCTGTTCACAGCTGCATCCCCTGAGGTTTCCTACCCGCAGCTGGACACCAGGCTCACCTCAAGAGGGCGCTGTTGCTGGGCGTGGTGGCACACACCTGTCATCCCAGTGACTTGGGAGACTCAGGCAGGAGGATCACAAGTTCAAAGCCAGCTTGGTCAACTTAGCAAGACCCTCAGCAATTTAGCAAGACCCTGTCTCAAAATATAAAAGGGCTGGGAATACAGTTCACTGGTAGAGCACCCATGAGTTCAATTTTCATTGCCCCCGGCAAAAAAGGAAAAGGAAGGAGCCATTATAGGGGCCATGCTGAGAGCATGCGCAGGCTGCAGCCCTGGGAGTTCTGACTTGGCCCATCACTGGTGTCTTCACTGAAGTTCTGAGTGTGACTGCAGTGTACCTAGCTAGTGTCAGGATACACTAACAGTAAAGTATTTCCCAAATTTCAGTGTGCGCACAAATCACTTGGAGATCTTGTTAAAATGCAGGTTTGGTACGTCTGGGGTGCGGCCTGAGATTCTGCATTCCCAACAAGCTGCTGGGGGAGCCCCGTGCTGTTGACCTTGGTGATTCCTGCTGCGCAGAAGAGCGGGCAGACCCAGGGGCTGCAGAGGCTCCAAGGCCTGTGGAGTGGCGCCCTTTAGAGCAGTAGTTCTCCACCCGAGGTTCTTGATGGCGTGCTGGGGTCACCTGGGGAACTCACAAAGTGCTGACATCTGACCCCACCCAGGGTCACTAGCTCATTTAATTACTCCAGGGTGGGGTCTGGGCAGGGGGGGCGGGGGAGAAGAGGGTGAGGAAGAGGGCCAGCAAAAGTGTCAAGGTGATTCCAACAGGTGATCAAGATTGAGAGGCAGCACTTTCCAGTTCCCAAGTGGCTCTGGGAGGGGAGCTGGGTAGGAAGCTCAGAAGGAAAGCTGAGCACCTACTGTGTGCTTGCAGCCTGTGTTACTGCTCAGCACTCAGGGGGTTGCTCTTTTTTTTTTGAGATGGGGCCATGTTGCCAGGCTGGCCTCAATTCGCCGCCACCCTCCTGCTTCAGCTGGGATTATGGGTGGGTGCCACCACATCTATCGGCCTTCCTGTCATTTAACCTTCACACTTCACTTTTCTCTGACCTCTGGAGTGATGTCACAGCACTAGTGAGGCCTGGGCGGGGCAGAGTAACCCTGGATGTTCTGCAGGGTCCCTCCGGCAGGGCCACAGGAGCCGTGTTGGAGCCTGATCCGTGACGCTGAGCCTGTCCTTAACATTTTGAGATTTTGTTCAAAGTGAATTTTTTTTTGCCTCAATTTTAAAAGACGCTACATTGTACTTTTACTTAACTACTTTACTAAGCTCTTTGGTACCCCTTAATTTTTATGCCCAAGGCTGGTACCTCACTTGCCTGACCCTGGTCCCAGCCCTGACTCTAGGCAGGGCCTTGGGAATGGAACCATAAACCCTGGTGGAGCTGCAAGGTCCTAACAGGAATCTTGGTTTTCAAACTTTAAAAAGAGTTTTGTTTAGACAAACATTTTTTTTTTTTTAAAGAGAGAGTGAGAGAGGAGAAAGAGAGAGAGAGAGAATTTTTAATATTTATTTTTTAGTTCTTGGCGGACACAACATCTTTGTTGGTATGTGGTGCTGAGGATCGAACCCGGGCCGCACGCATGCCAGGCGAGTGCGCTGCCGCTGGAGCCACATCCCCAGCCCTAGACAAACATTTAAAAGAAATCTTAATATGTAAAAGGCAGAGGTGGTGGGATTGAAGGCAGGGAGGTGCTCAGGGATGCATCCCCTCCCCCACATCATGACCCTGAGGCTCTCGGGATGCCAGCATAGACCACCTCCTGCACCTCCCAAGGAAACAGGCTGGATGCAGCGGTGGGAAGGGAAGAGGAGAGGAAGGAGGGAAGCCTTGCCTTGTGGTTTGCTCCCCAGGGCAATACAGGGCTTGGCCTATAACCCCCACCGTGGCTGAGTTCAGTGCACCAACTGATGTCACTGGCCATGCTGTTGGGAGAGATGTGCACCGTCACTTTATGAGCCAGTAGGAGCTGGCCCCAGAGGAAGCAATGGCCTGGAGGGGCACAGAGATGATACAAGAAGCAGGTCATGTGGCTCCCAGACCTGGGCTCTGCCCCCTGGCCCCAGCTGGGAGTTCCTTGCCATGGCCATTCTGGTCCTTCCAGGCCTTTATCTCAGTCAAGGATCCTAGGGTTGTCACAGTCATCCTGGTGGGACCATAGGGGCTGCACGTCTGTGCTCACCTCCATCCTGCAGCCCAGGGCAAGGCACTCCCGGGACAGAGCCACTGCGGAGAGGAGAGAGGCTCATCCGCCCTGCCCCTCTTTTTGCTGGAAGACCCTCAAAAAAGGAGTGAATGCAGCGAGTGAGGTAATACATAGGGAGCCTTTTATTACTAAATACCATGAGTATACAAAATGCATAATCGAATAACAGCTAAAAAAAATAGTCCAAGAAATGTGAAATACACATTTTTTGAAATGATAAAAATGTATCCATGAAAAATATAAAACGTTGCATATATACATACAATATATTTATATATATAACATAAGTGAAACTTGTGATAAGAAATGTGTACAGCAGCGATGGCAAGGTGGTAGTGTTGACAGCGGTCACTTTGTTCCAGAGCTCTGTTACGTACATCTCGCCTTGAGAAGTCAGTGAGGAAGAGGTGTTGCCACCACAGTGTCTTTTAAAAGTCATTTGCACTGAAAATCAAGCATTTTCAAGTTAACTGACCAAAGGGTGAGAAGTCTGAAGTTGACGGAAGAATCCGGAGCAGGCCATGCCAGGGTTGGGCGGGCCATGTCAGGGTCCAGCCGGCTGTGCGGCCTGTGGGGGAGGGCTCCACCTCTGAAGGCAGCCGGCAGGGGACGGTGAGGAGGGACCGGCCGGGAGGGTGTTGACCAGGGCGCTGCGTCTGGTGGGCGGGCACTGGCAGGATTCAAGCAAGGATGGAGTTCGGATCGGGAGACCCTCGGAGTCCCTTCTGGCTTGACGGCTGGGGTCTGTGACTTGGGGGCCACTTCCCTCAAGGAGCACATTCAAGTAACAGCACTGAGGCATGCAGAGAGGCTGGGTGTGGCACGGGCCACTTCCCGGGTCTGGGTTTGAGGGCGTGGGCCCTACAGCTCCTTCAGGATGATCTGAATCTTGCCGTCCAGCTCCCCCATGTCCAGCAGGAAGGCCACATGGTTGCTGTAGTGCTGGATGATGTTGTCATCCATGTTGACCAAGATCCTGGAAGAGATGAGGCGGTGTGGTTGGAACATGCCAGGGGCCTGCATCCTGTCCCTCTGAGGGACACAGAGGACAGCCACATTTCAGGCACCTCACAAACTGCCTTGGGGTCCTGCCCACCAGCCTGCAGGGTGGTAATCACAGTCCCCTTCACAGGAGAGTGGCCAAGTCAAACCCTGCCACGCTCAACCTGCTGCACATGCACATGGGTGCCTGGGAGTGACATGCAGATCTGGGGGAGACAGTGTCCCCTGGTCACCCAGTAACCACAGGGTCACACAGGGAGTTCAAGTCAGGAGGAGAGAGGCTCATCCGCCCTGGCCCCTCTTTTTGCTGGAAGGAGTTCAATCTCCTGTGATTGATGTGCCACTCAGGTATGCCAGCCACACAGGAGGCAGATGCCACCCAGACCCTGGCTTGGTGTTATCCCCTGAAGCTGAAACCCCAGGACTAACTCTCCAGACAAGGATCTGGCCAGCCTGACAAAGACCAAACTGTCACCTCCTGTCCATGGGCCCTTATCATCTCCAGCATTTGCTGAGGATGTGCCTCCCTCCAACACCAGGGCCACGTGGAGATGAACTGGATCGTCACCCTGTCCGCCAGGAGTGCGGGATCTCACAGGCTGGGAGGAGGAGTCCCCACAGCTGTTACTCCAGTTCACAGGCAAGGAAGCTGGGGTTCAGGGACACAGTGATCTGCCCATGGTCACACGGTTAGGAGACGGCAGGGCTGGGATCCGAATCTAGACCTTGGTTCCCACCAGGGGTGGAGCCCCACAGATCCAGGCTGGGAAGTGGCAGATGCGAGGAAATCAAACTCTGGGTGCGGGGAGAGCTCGGGGTGAGCTGAACCTTCTAGGGCAGAGTGGAGGGTCTGCTCTCACAAGGGCTACACAAGAGAGGAACCGCAGTGAGGACAGCAGTGAGGGTCACAGCCTGTGTCCAACTGTCCCTGCCAGCACCAGCCTGCCAGGCTGCTTCTTCCAGGGCGAGGCCTGGCCTGTGCCGCCTGGGTGCTGCAGCCAGTATTGAGTTTCAGGATCCCCTCCTTGGGTCCTGCCTGGAGTTTCTGCATTTCACAGAGGGATCTTGTCTGGGGGCTGGAGGCTGGGAACAGGCCAGAGGAGACTGCCCAGGGGGTGGGCGCTGGGTGGCCTTTCCCACAGTGGTGCTGGCAGGTGCCGGGCACCATGTAGGTGCCTCCAGTCCTGTGTCCTGAACACTGACTCCCTCCACCCGGCGGGGCCTTCCGTCACCAGGGATCACGCCCTCCCCTCTCAGGACGATGACAAGTGGGTCCCGAGTGGCAGGGCTTGTCAGGGACCGCTGTCACTGAGTGCGGGCCTCTGGTTACTTCCCAGCTTCCAGCTGCCTTCTGCCCTGGGTCAAGTTCAACCCTTGGCCAGCTGCCAGCAAAAGCGGTGTATCTGTTCATCTTTGAGGCGCTCAGCGGTGCTGGAAGCGATCCTATCTACCTCTGCGCTGGGCCTCCCGAGGGTTTGCAGGAGGCGAGCAGCCCGCTTAGGACTTCTCGTCCTCAAGGACCCCAAGGGGGACTGCAGATGTGCCCGGCGGTATTTTGTCAACATGGATGACAACATCATCCAGCACTACAAAATCTCCCCAATGTATTTTGGGGAACATTCTCATTTAGACATTTCAGACCACCCTAGGGCTGAGGTGGTGGGGTATGGGCCGCCTCTGCAGGGCCACGGAGGGATGCCCCAGGCAGCCCAGCCACAGCCCTTACTGCACATGACCCAGCAGTCAGAGGGACACGAGGAAGAGAGATAAAATGGGGAGGGGCTCATGCTCGGCTTTAGGCAGGTGGGGATCCCCTGCGGTTGATCTTGTAACCACCTGCCTAGGACCTCAGTTTCCTCATCTGTGGGCTCCCTTTGAGCCCACACGTCGCCCGGACATTATTTAGCCCAGTGCCCGTCTGCAAGAGGGTTCTGCCGCCGGAAGTGATTGTAATTGGGCTGACACAGTTGCCTGGGCTTACGGGAAAGCCTCTGAGGACCCAGCCAGTGGAGCAGGGGTGGGCACCCCGTGGCCACCGCCTTCCCCTCCTATACAGGCGGTCCCCGGGGTGGGACGTGTGGGAGAGACCAGCACAGGTGGGGCTGGAGCAGGGGACGTGGGAGTGGCCCTGGGGGACGTGGGGCTGGGCTTGTCTGGGCAAAACTGAGCCACGAAGTAGATTCGGCTCCAGAGAGCGTGAGAGCCTCAGTTCGAAACCGAAACTTGGGGGAAATAAAAACACACGTGCGAAAGCCCTCGGGTCACTTCTACAACCCAAACCAAATGGGGCCTTCCCAGGGCCAGGGTCCGAGACCTTCCCCCAACCGCAGCCTTCGTGGGAGGCTGGTGGAACCAGAGGAGGGGAGCCCAGCCCTGGGCCTGCTTAGCGGAGGCCTCTCTGCACGGTCTTGAAAAGGAGCACCCACAGACAGCAGCCACAGGGCAGCGCCACCCAGGGCTACTCAGAAGAGCCCCTGAAGCCAGACTGCCCAGCAGCGGGGTCAGGCCTGAGCTGTGGGCAGAGGCCCTGCTCCTGGGTCCTCTGGGTTGGAAATAAAGCAGTGACAATTCCTCACTGCCCCTGCTGGGCTGGTGAAGTGACTTGGTCAGGAAGGGTGGCAGAGGCCCAGCTCACAGCTCTGACCAGGCGACTGATGCCTAGGAGTCAGAACCTTCTGGAAACCAAGGGGTCTGCTGATCCCCAGGAGCCTGTGGTGGGTGCCCAGGCACTGCCCAGCCCTCTCCCTGGGCGCCAGAGCTGCTCTCCCTCTACCTAGTCCAGCCTGGAGGTGAGGTGGAGGGGGCCCAGGGAGTGACCCTGGCTGGGCACCCTCCACACAGCTCCCAGTCCACAGCTCCCTCTGCAGGCTCAGGGCCAGCCACGCTGTCCTGCCCCGGCTATCTGCAGCAACTGTGCTAGGCCGTCCTCCCTCTGGGCCTCCATTCCCCGGCTGAATGTCCACTGCCCTGAACATGGCTCATCACCTCCGAGCCTCAGTTTCCCTGTCTGTCGCACTCCTAGTGCAGCTGTGAGGGTTAAATGAAATATGCTCAGCCCACAATGACACACAGGAGGTGGCCCAGTGACTGGTGGCCACTGAAATCATTATTACCATCATCAAATATCTTGGTCATTCAGTGGCCTTGGGATTTGAACTTGGGTCTTCTGATGTTTAACTCTGTACTTCCTCCTACACCCCAGGAGGTCATGTACAACGACCCTCCTCCTCCCCACTCCCCTCCTCCCACTAGTGACCAGTGTCTGGTCTCTGCGGATAGAAGGGAGACCCCAGTGGCCTTGGTCTGATTGTCCCCCATCCCCCAGCCTCTCCACAGAGGCCAGGTATGAAGTCTCCTCACGCTGAGCAGCCAGCGTGGGGGCCGAAGTGGGCACTCACCCCCGCTTGCACTTCTTGTAGACTTTGTAAATGTTCTCTTCGGGGAACCCGTACTTCTCAGAGATCTGGAAGAGAAAGGTAGGGGATTCACTGCCTGCTGCCCAGCCCAGGTCTATACAAGTCTTCTAAACACCATTGTTTTTCACATGCTGATTGTAAATTTTATGTATGTATGGAAAACATGAAGAAAATTAAAAGCATTCATCGTCCTATTTCCCAGAGATGAACACCCTTCACACCTTGGTGTACGCCTTCCCATGTACACAGACAATTTCGTATTCACATAGGTGGTTTTGTACCACTTTAAACTTATCACCATAGGATGAGCCTTCCTAATGAGCATCTCCTGTTGCCCTTACCTCCTGCCTAGTGCCAGACACATGGATGGTCCAGTGTTCAGGGTGCACCATTCACCAGCTGGGTGGCTGTTATGGTTTGGATGTGAGGGTCCCCCAAAAGCTCATGTGTGAGACAATGCAAGAAGGCTTAGAGGTGAGATGATGGGTTATGAGAGCCTCAATCCAATCAGTGAATTGATGCCCTGACGGGATTCACGGAGTGGTCACTAGGCTGGCTGGGTGTGGCTGGAGGAGGTGGTCCCTGGGGTGGGCTTTGGGGTGTGTATTTTAGGAGATGAGTGGAATCTGTCTGCTTCCTGCCGTCACATTCCCAGCTTCTGTTCTGCTCCACCTTGAGCCCTGAGGAATGGAGCCAGCCTTCTATGAACTGAGACCCCTGAAACTGGCTTTTCATCCCCTAATGGCTCTTCTCAGTCCTTGGGTCACAGCAGCGGGAAAGCTGACTAAACAGTGGCCCTGTGCAAACTGCTCATGGGGACAGTAGAGTGCACCTCGAGGGTGGCTGGAAGAACTGAGTCAATCCAGGTAAGACTGAGGACAGCTCCCCGCACCCAGCAACGCCTGCGTAAGTGGCCACAGCCCCGCTTCAGAAGGAGGGAGGTGGGGTGCACCTTGCCGTGCTGGGGGGGGACCCGAAACTTGCCCCCTCTGGGCAGGAACTGTGAGCTCAGCTGGGGGTGTGCCTGTGAGCCCCCAGACAGGCAGCCAGGCCGGAGGCCTGGAACCAGGTCAGCTGGCCCCGCCACATCCCTAGTGTCGCTGCTTGCTCTCCAGACAGGAAGAACGCTCCGAGGCCTGTGGAGCTCCTGCAGCCCACGCCACCACGTCTCCCCAGAGCTCCCAAGGTTTCCTTTTGGCAAACAGATCCAGTCTGGTCCCAGCTCTGCCTCCTGGCGTTCAGAACATTGAATAGCTCCCTTACTTCCCTGAGCCTCAGTTTCCTCATTTGTAAAGTGAGGAAGTAACGTGCAGTAAAAGGTGTCCACAGAGAGCGTCTGCCCATGACACTCACATAAAGGAGCAGCCGGTGCCCGTCCCATGCACTCAGGGGTGCGCCTGGTTCAGTGGAACTGGCCACCTTGAGCAGCATGGCTCAGGTCAGGACCACAGGGAGCTCGGCCCCTGGGGCATCTTAGGAAGAAGATCTGGGCTCGGCTCTTCACTACTCTTCCTCTTTGGGGGACAGTCCTGGGGGATTGAACCCAGGGGCGCTCTACCATGGAGCTATAACCCCAGCCCTTTTTATTTTTTTTAATTTTGAGATAGGATCTTTCTAATTGCCCAGGCTGGCCTTGAACTCAGACTCTTCTGTCTCAGGCTCCTCTATAATTACAGGAGTACACCACCACACTCAGATCCCCAGTTCCTCTCTCTCTCTTTTTTTGTACCAGGGATTGAACTCAGGGACAGTCACTGAGTCACATTCCTGGTCCTACTTTGTATTTTATTTAGAGACAGACAGCATCCTCACTTTTGCTGAGGCTGGCTTTGAACTTGCAATCCTCCTGCCTCAGCCTCCTGAGCCGCTGGGATTACAGCTGCGCCCGGCTCCCCATTACTCTTTTTTTTTTTAATATTTATTCTTAAGCATTAGGTGGACACAATATCTTTATTTTACATTTATGTGGTGCTGAGGATTGAACCCAGTGCCTTGTGCATGCTAGGCGAGCACTCTACCACTGAGCCACAACCCCAACCCCTCCCCATTACTCTTGACGGCCATCCTTCCACACCAGAAAAGCCCTCAGACTATTTGTTTTAATGGTGATACAGCCAGAAGCTACCAGGAAGACTCTAAGGAAGAACTTTAAACTTTCTAAACATAAGTTGCACAAAGACAGCATGAGCTGCCTCAAAAGGAAGTGAGCTCCCCATCCTCCGAGGTATCCAGGTCCAGAGTGGACGCCCTCAGAGGAGCTGTTGGAAAGAGAGCTCAAGCTCTGGATGGAAGCCGGCCCTAAGGTACCGTGCAAACACGGATTAGGAGTCTAGGCTGGAGTGTCATTAATGGCCTTTTGTGAGCCCAACTTCCTGGGTATGATGGAGCAGGCCGGCAATACATAGAACAGGACAGCGGAATGGAGATGGCTTGGACTGGAGGGTAGCCCTGGTGCTCCCTCCAGGCCACCCTGGCAAGTCCCCTGACCTCTGGAGCTGCCTCCTCACGGGACCTGAGAAGGTGCTGCCAGAACCGCTTCCCAGTGGTTAGAGGATGCCAGGGGTGGCTGGTGCAGCCTGCCCACAAGGTGCCCGGCACCGGGGGCTCTCACAGGAGGGAGCCAAAGTGACAATTTAATTCATTTTTCCCCTCCAGCCGGAGGCCTCCGGCTTTCTGGGGGCTCAGCTTCCAGGCACAGCTGCCCTGGAGGAGCCTACGTATGCTGGGCTCTCCGCTGGGCAGGGAGCTGGCCCTCGGTCTTGCTCAGGGCCGGGCTGTGGCCTGCTCTCTGGCAGTGGGGGCTGGGGAGGTCTCCTTGCCCGGGTCCCACCCTTGGCCACCTGAGCCAGCTCCCCAGCCAACCGCAAGCAGGAGGAATGAGGCCCCCTGGGAGAGGAAAAAAAGAGTGTCTCTGGGCCTGGCCTTTTGGGTTTCATTCCCATTAAAACAGAAACAGGTTTGCAAAACCAACAAAAGCCCTGCCTGTCAGACAGCAGCCATCAGATTAAGGAGGATTTATGGTGTGTGCGACTCCCAGGGTGGAGCCAGGGTTCTGGCTGGGAGATAACATCACGCACACCCCCACAGCAGGCCCCCCGCCGGGTGGGACTGTAGGCCACCCAAAGCCCAGGTCCCCAGCCATCCCTTCCCAGAGACTGCCTGCGGGAAGTGGGCCTCCTGGGACAGGGTGGGCTTGGGGCCCACCAGGCTCTGGCCCGGGTGCAGACCCCCGCGTCTTACCGCATTCCTCAGCCCCTGCAGGTCTGGGGTCTTCAACATAAGGGCGTCAAACACCTCCTCGGTCTCCCTCCGAACGTACAACAACACTGAAAACAGAGGGTGGCTCTCAGGGCTGTGACAAGGGCAACAGGGCAGCAAGCCTGGGGCCCCAGAGGTGGGGGTCTTGGAAATATTACTTTAACATTAAGGTCAATTTCCACTGCGGGGGCTGAGGGCTGCGCCCGGCTGGGAAACAGCCCGGAAACTCACAGACTTAGACGGCCCTGATTTTGGCCCATTTGAATGCCTGCTCTGGTGACCTTGAAGAAGTGGTTTTAACATCACTGAGCCTTACTTTACTGGTTGGCAAAATGGGGGCGCTTCCCCAGCTTCGGAGCTGTGGGAACGACTGACGACGTTTAGAAGCACTAAGTGCGTTGCTCAGCTCCGGTCAAGGGTATGGGAAGCCGTGGGTCTCAGCTGCTGGGAGTTCTTCCTGGTGGTCAGCCATAGCCCCCAGAGGCCTGGGCCAGCCTCACCTCCCACCACACACAGGTGTCTCAGATTTAGAGTGGCAAAGCTAGAAGAGCGGAAAGGAAACCCACCCAGCCCCCACCCCTTGGAGAAAGTGTGGGTCCCCTCCAGCATGAAAAAAGAGCAGGGTCCCTAGACACCCAGGGGGACAGCGGGCAGATGCCCTGCAGCCCTGGCCGTCTCTCCAACACCTAGGGACCCCCTGTCCCCACAAGCCTTGGCCCAAGTCCAGCTCCAAGGTGTAGAGCCCCCTGCCCTCCCCAGGAGGCCTTGTGGGTGGGGCCTGGTGGGCGCTGGGACACAGAGGGCGGGGGCTACCTCTCTGAAGGTCATCTTCCTTGGCTTGCTTGGAGGGGAGAGGCTCAAACTCCTCCGCAAAGGGCGAGCAGGTGCGCTTCAGGGGCAGCCTGTGGGGATGGGCGGGTGGTGAGCACCTGCTGGGCCGCAGGAGGGGGTGCAAAGCAGGTGACAAGGCAGGGGTGGAGCTGCGTGGCCTGGGTTCCAGTCTAGCTCCCTCACACCGGGCTCTGGGCCCTGGGGCGAGTTCCTTAGCTCAGGGTGACCCCATCTATAACGTGAGGTGACGAGAAAGTACAAATGACAGGGCCCGGGTTGTGGCTCAGCGGTAGAGCGCTCGCCCGGCACGTGTGAGGTGCTGGGTCCGACTCTCAGCACCACATAAAAATAACTAAATAAAATAAAGGTATCATGTCCAACTACAACTAAAAAAACATTAAAAGAAAAAAACAGTAACAGCCCCGCGGGAAGCTGCCCACAGAGACAGCGCACACTGCTCTCCCCCCATGTGGCCTGCAGGCCGCAGTCAGAGGGTACGATGGCCGTCATCAGCCTTGGTCCCTTGGAAAGAATCAGGCTGGGCTGAGGCTGTGGGAGGAGGGGGACTGTGGGTCTTGGAGCAGGACAGACCAGGTTCCTGTCCTGCCTCTGCTACTGGACGGCCGAGGGACCACCGGCTCGCCCCTTCCCCTCCCGGCCTCGGTTCCACGGCCTGCACAGGAGAGCAGTACCCTAGTGGGAATGCTTGAGGGCGGGGACATAACTGGGCAAAAGCAGCGTGTGGACAGTGGTCTGGGTGTGGGGAGGGACTGGTGATAACATGATCTGCATGAAGCACTTGGCTGTTTCAGAAGGTTCCGCGCCCTCTCTGCCTGCCTCCCCCACGGCTGTCCCCCTCCTCTGACGATCTGTGGGCTAGGACTTGGGGAGGCTCAGGTTTGCACGAGGGCACAAACGCTGTGGCCCACAGGGAAAGGCAGTGTGCTGGGGCCTCTGGGGTGTGCTGAGGGAGAGGGCGGGCCAGGGCCAGGGCCACGTCCTCCCGCACAAGCCCTCTGTGCTTTCCGAATCTGCACCCCACCCCCAGCCTTTTCTTTCCCTTTTACAAGCAGGTGTCTTCGCCAGAGATTCGCCAACTTTTCATATAAAACAAACCTATAAAACCAGGCAGTTTCAGTGAGGAGGGAGAGTGCGCCGAGCTTGGGGGCTGGGACCGAGTTTTACAGTCCCTTCTTCTGGCCCCAGGCCCTGGCCGGGGCAGTGTGAGGGGACAGGGAGCCCTGGCCGGGTCAGCATGAGGGGCCAGGGAGCCCTGGCTGCTTCTTCCATACCTGTTGGAGCTGCCGTGTCCTGCTGAGGTGACCGCCTGCAATGAGGAGAGAGAGACATTTCCATCACAAACAGGAAAATGAGAGGAGCCTCGGCCCTCGGCCCTCCATTTTCAGCAGGAAAACTGTCTGTGGGGAGGGTGGTGTTTCAACGCGTTTCCAGGGCTCTGTTCACATGAGTCCCCTAAGGGGGCTGAATCCCCATCGGAAGGAGTCACCTAGCCCAAGCTGCTGAGTCGGGGGCCTACAGACACAGGGTGGTGGGAAAGCAATGGTTGGCAGATCAGCGCGCCCACCCCAGACAGCGCGCCCAAGGCTGGGAGCCTTGGCTGGGAACTGGGCAGGGGAAGCTGGGGCGCGGTGCGGGGGAAGAGGCACCCTGTGTGTGCCACTGTGGCACTGCTACTCCTATTGTGCTGTCTGGTGGCCATCACCCTTTGAGGTCCTGTGAGACCCAGGCTCCAGAGCCCCTGGGGTTGCACAGCCAGCACGGGGCAGGCTCGGGCGGCTCAGGGTCTCTGCTTGCTGTTTCCCTGGGCCACCCAGGCTCAGGTGTGCAGGGGCCACATCGGTGATGGCAGCTCTTTTCAGCTCCAAGGTCTGCCTCCTTGTCCTAAGTCAACACACCAAACCCACCCTGGCCACCAGGGCCGTTTCTGCAGACACTCCCACAGAAACTGGGGCGCCGTGCCCTCCACAGAGGGAAGCTGTCGGAGTGCTTGATGCAAACCAGACCTGGGGACAGGCTGCAGGGCCTTGACTCCACCTCTGACTCACTCTATGCCCTGTCTGAGAAAGGGGGTAAACAGTTTCCCCCAAGGACAGCTGGGTCGGGAGCCGGGTAACGTGGCCAAGCGCTGGGCCAGCTCACTCCAGGTGCTCAGAGGTGGCTCCCCTGGCTTGACAGGTGGAGCAGCTAGTAGCCAAGGGCACGGATCCTGGAATCAGGCTCCTGGGTCCAATTCCGGCCCTGCCCCTTTCTAGCTGTGTGATTTGGGGAAGTTTCTCAACTTCCCTGTGCCTCCCATTTGGGGTGCACAGCACCTAGGTCAGGGCGTGGACTCGACAGGGTTGCAGTAAAGGCAGGTGGGTAATGTGTGCACGTAACACAGAGCCTGCTGCATACAGAGGGATGCTGCACTGTCCCCACGCAGCCAGCTTCAGTGTGGCCGTACTGGGACCTGGGCTTAGATAGCAGAGACCTCCCCGTGTGTCCCAGGCACTAACGTTCTGATGAACACCAAAGTCCATTTCCTACCAACATTCTACTCTGGGCTGGAATAGGTCACTGACAGGGACACGTGTCATTTTGTTTTTAATCCCCTAGGACTCAATAAACGAAGACTGATTATTTAATATCAGGACCTAGAAACATCTAGATTGGCCAGTACTGGTGAGTGGCTGGCTGCTGTCTACTGGCCTGGCTAAGGCAGGCCCCGACAAGGGACCAGGCTCCTCTTGGCACCCCCTTCCCAACCAGGACCCTGCCCTCACCCCTGCAGAGCGCTGCAGGCTGGAGAAGTGGACGTTGGGGATGAACAGCACCGGCGGGGTCTCCAGGTCGGCCTCAGGCCGCAGGTAGGTGGTCTCGTTGCCCCTGAAGCCCGACAGCAGGCAGCCCTTGATGCCTGATGGGAAAGGAAGCCGTGGGCCTGAGGTCCCTCCACACAGGTCCCCCTCTGGCCTCCTTCTCCCCTTCACCCCGCACAGCCCAGCCAGCCCCTGGTTCATCCCCACTGACCACTGCTGGAGTCCGGGCACTTGACCTTCCTGCGGAACTGCTTCCGCTCATCATCCCGCATCTTCCTCTCAGCTCCCTGGGGTGGGGGAAAGGGGGTCACCAAGGGCCTTGGAGGGGCTGGCCCTGTCACAGCTGCTGCTTCACATTTTGCATCTTAAATAGGGGCCCAGCTTTTGGTCCCCACAGTGACACCAGAAAATGAGAAGGTACCAGCATCTGGCCCAGCCTGGTCCTGCCTGCCCGAGATCAGCACAGGCCGCGAGAGGGGGAAAGGGCGGGAAAGAGGACACTGAGAGAGCCCCGCAGAGGGAGGGAGAGAGGGCTTTAAACAGGGCAGGGGAGGGGAGGAGAGAGGACCCAGGAATGGAGAGAGTCAGAGATGAAAGAGAAACACAAGAAAGACACAGAGGATCGAAGACATGGAGTGAGGTTTACAGAGGCCACTGTGAGAGGGGACACAGCTGCAGAGACAGGAGGACGTGCAGGGAACCGACACCAGCAGGACATCAGAGGACATCAGGGGGGGAGACAGGGCAACAGACACACCTAGAGAAGCCAGGGGGCTGCCTGGTGGGGCCTCGTCCCTCCCAGGACCCAGCGAGGGCGGCCCACCACCCACCTTGTCGCAGAAGATCTTGATCTGGCAGACCGCACGGTGCACCAGGCGCTCAGTGCCAGAGCCACAGTCGTAGGTGTCGATTTGCAAGTTCAAGGGGACACCCTTCACCCCCTTCTGCGAGGAGAAGTCTGTGCTCAGGCAGTTGACGCCAATGAAAATCTGTGTACAGAATGGGGAGCCGGGTCAGTGGCCTGCACAGGTCTCTGGCCCTGTCGGTTGGGGCTTCTGTGTGCCAGGGATGGGAAACTGATGCTCAGAGAGGCGGTGCCACTTTCCCAAAGCAACACAGACCGCAGGTGGTGAGGTGGGGTCTGCAGACAGATTCAAGGCCCAGGCCCCTCGCCACTGGGCGGGTGCTCCCATAGCCCGCTAAGGACAGCCCACATCAACGGTCCTTTAGAGACAGAAATCTAAGAACCTCATCTTTCTGCAACTGAGGGACAGGACACCACTTTTCTGCTGGCCCAGGGACACAGCGGGTGAGACACAGCCCCCTCCACGCCTAACAGGCAGTTCCAGCCACTGCTGGACCCTCCAGCAAGAGGTTCCCTCTACGCATACCCCATCCACTAACCTGGGCCCCTGTCATCTGCACCTTATAGCCATGGAGTCTCAGGGACAGAAGCTCCCCACACTCCCCCAGGGAATCAGGAAAAATGAGCCACCAGATCTGTGGTGGGAAGCTGGACCTGCCACTCATGAGCCTTGTGGCTTTGACAGATCTGTGACCTCCCTGAGCCTCAGTGTCCGCGTTAAGCCTTTCTTGTGTGGCTAAGGCTATGCCCTGTTGAGGGCAGCCTGGGGTTGGTCTCAGCGGCTGAGCCCCGGCTGACTGTGGCTGGTGACGTCTAACCTTTCCTCGGGCTCAAGTTCCGAGGACTCAAGGCCACACCCCATCCCAGGCTGGTCCCTGTTCTTTGGGACATTGTCCTTGGAAATGCCCCTGACCTGAATCGGGGGTTTAGGTAGGGTGCTGAAGCAGACCTCCTTTGTCCCTCTGTGGGGGCCAGGCCCTCAGGCACATGCCGGACATACCTCCCCCTCAGCCAGCTCAGGCCTAATGCGGCCCCCACCCAGCTACGGCTCGCACCTGAGAAAGACCCAAGCCTGGGGCCCTAGAGGCTGTGAGAAAGTCCCCACCGAAACCCACCGCTCCCTTCCCACGAAACTTTCCCCCTCCCTGAACTGGAGGCCCGCTCCTCCAGCCCCTGGCTGTTTGAATAATAATAATCCCTGCCTCAGGCCTCCCTCTGCGCCTTAGAGCGCCTTCACCTGTCTGTCGCTTTAGCTCCCCAGCCCACCAGGGCCAGAAACCTTCGAGATGACCCAGCCCTGGTGGGCGAGGCCAGCCTGCTCCAGCAAGAGGTTGACCCAGAGTAGTGCCCCTGCCTCCACACAGCTCCCTGGGCAGAAGCGACGCAGACAGGCCCACAAGCACACGGAGGCTGGCAGCTGGACGCCAGCTGCGGGCGGGGAGACACTCTGCGGCTGGGGAGACCCTCACTCTCCTGGGCAGTGGATCATCCTTCCCATCTTACCAACTGAGAGCAGAGAGCCAACTGGGAGTTGAACCCTCAGCTCCCAGACTTCCAAGCGTGTCCCTGCAAGCTGGCTTGCTGTGACCTCGCACAAGCTCATGCTTCCCATCTGGTACGTGGAAACTGGATAAATGGCGAGAGCCACCCTTGTGAGCCGGGCCTGTGTTCCACCCCTCACCTGCCTCGCCGGACCCTCACTAAGACCTGCCGAGGCCCGGAGAGGCAAAGTTGCGGGACTGGGCCTGCGGCCTGGAGTCCCAGCTCCTGAGCACTCTGGGTCCTGCCTCAACATGGGAGCCGCCTCAGAGCACATGCCCCAGTCCGAGGTGCAGGCAAGCTTCTCCCCAGGAGGGGGACTCTGGGCAGCCCTGCCCACCCCACCCTACCCCCACTGACCTTGGCCTCCTCGGTGACATTCCACATGAAGGACAGGGCGTTGTAGGCCACCTCCTCGATGTGCTGCACCGTGTTGAAGTTCTCCTTGCAGTCAGCTGAAACCACAGGAGCCGGAGGAGCGTCAGGAGGGAAGGGACGTGGGCACAAGGCAGGGGCGAGCAGGAGCTGGGCCTCAGTCCAGGAGGAAGGAGGAACACTGGGCCTGGGTTACAGACTGGAGGGCAAGTCCAGCCTGGGGGACAGATCTGCCAAAGCCCAGAGGGAACCCCATGGCCCCTGTCGCCTGGTGGAGGTTGTCCTTTCCATAGGGGTTAGTAAGTAGGAGGTCTCCCAGGAGAAGTGACAGGTGATATGGTAGTGATAGCAGTAACAATGGTAATAACAGCGGTCGTGAACGTAGTAATACTGGCAACGACCATTTCTTGGACACCTAGACTGGCAGGCCCTCGGGTAATCCTCACAACTCCACTGGGCATATTCAGTTTATACATGAGGAAAATGGAGCTCAGTGTGGTTTGGCTACTTGGCGAAGGTCACACAGCTAATAAAAGGCAAAGCTCAGATCTGTCTGGCTCTGTGACCCATGCTCCCAATTCCCCTGCCACCCAGCCTCGCGGATAAGTCGCTGAACTGTGCCCTATTTGTACTGAGTTCTGCAGGCTACACAGTACCAGGCAGAGATCAACACCACAGGCATGCAGGGGAGCTGGCCGAGGCTGGGGGAGGGCGGTGGAGACACACCTGCAGGCAGGAAGGGGAGCTGTGCCTCCCCCTATTTCAGGGCAGGTGGGGGCATGGTGGCACACACAGGGTGGCTCTCATCTGCTGACAGAGCCTGAGGATCTCACCCCCAACAAGAACCACCAGTACTGTGCCTCAGCTGTCCACCACCACTGCCAGCCCTGCACGGTGTGCGCTATGTCACCTAGACACACCGTAGGGGACAAACAGGCCAGCATCTCAGGGCCTATCTCTGGGACA